ATGACAAAAATCGTACACTTCGGAAAATATCTGATTTGGTAACGGGAGCATATAAACACATTGGTATCGTAATATAATCGCCAGTGAAAAAAAACATCTACAAACATCATTGAACATGAGTTCTAGAAAAAAATAACTCATCAACTTGGATTTTAGTTATTTTCACTAGAATACAAATAATTTCATCCGTCTGGCCTGCTCAACCCAAGATGACCCAAAAAAAAAAAAGAAGAAAATTAGTGATTCTGATATTCCGGCATTGAAAAAATTAAGATCGGTAGATATGAATGCTAATTTTTTCGGTGAAGAACTGGATGTAAAACTTCAATGCTTTATATAAGACACTCATTCTGGTATTGTGAAGATCATATTTTGATTATACAGATGTACATTGTACGAGCACAAAAATATCAATATTAAAGCTGAACAAAGAAGCACAATGTTTACTACGGATTGGTTGTTTTTCCATTGCGACAAAAATTAAGAAAACTGTCTCAGTCTACAAGTTAACTTGTTTATAAACTCTTTGTATTTGAATGGTTTCATATTTCTTGAATAAAATTCTTCAAAAAAAAAATTGTTTATAAATTAACTCAGATATCAGATTTAAAATTCCTCTCCAGTGGTTGACCAAAAAAAAAAAACAGGCAAGTTTTCCCTCAGTTTGGTCGGGTAACCGGTAACATTTTCCTATGCTCAACAGAGAGACTGGCAGACCAACAGTATCTTCTAAAATATTACTCTCCAAGCAGAGGTTTGGGTTTTGGCTTATTTTTGGCGTTTTTAAAGGCTTTTGTTATCGGGGTTTCTTTTCTGCACTGAATTTTTTTCTTTTATACGCCAACTCGTAAAAAAATTTCCGGTGCAAAAAATGAATTCCCGAGGCCCTGGAAAGAGGCGTATAGGCTACGAGGAGAACTGTGTATATGTCCGGTGAAGTCTGGCAGCCTATTGACACAGGGGACAGTTACACTTTGTTTATTTCATTGTCATACTAAGCATCGTGTATCATAGAATTGAAGGTCACACTGAAAACTCTGTCGCTAAACGGTCGCCTAGCGATCACAATGTAGTGGAATACTGGGTCCAAAGTATCGTACGGAGTGAGAAGTGACAGTAGTGGCCAAATATTGGACACGGCACATTTTAGAATCTTACACCAAATCTTACAAAGCAATAACGTACACCAAATCTACCAGATTTGTACGTAGCCAGATTCCCTCATTCTGGATTTTATTACTATCATTGGAAGAAAAAACAAGACCTTTCACCTGAAAGCAAAACTTTCATCAGAATAAGAAACGAAGACCATTCAAATGCAAGGCTATTATACTTAAACACACCTACTCCTTAAAAAAAGAGGCTATTTTCCGATTATCACATCTTACACACACGGGTGAAAGATTCCAAAATCTGTCTTGGTTTTTCATGTCCAATTTCTTGCCATATGTAAGAAGTGTTCTTACCGGCTCCGGGGGGCGTCCTCCCCGTCCACCGCAGCCCTGGGTGTCGGTGCCGCGCCTCGGCAAGAACAGCTCAGAAAACGGCCAGCAGTCACTGGAAATAACAAGGATACAAAAATTAGTCTCTACCCTCTGTCTTCCTTGTCTTGAAAAAAAAAAGACTCCTTTGACCTTAAATTGAATCTTTTACTATTTTTCATCTGCATGCTAGATTTTTTAGTTAATGTAGAAGTTAATGTAAGTGATGTACATAGAACACCTGTAGGTGCAAACGGTTCTGAGTTCGGAACCCAGAGAAGTTCCCTTGCAGGCTATTTCCTTACTGAACTTACTGGTTAAAATGATGGCCTATCCTCGGTTAGGGAGGGCATGTAAAACCGGAGGTCCCATTATTATGAGGAAACCGCGTTTAAGATCCCACCACATCTATCGAAAAAGAGTAGGGGCCCTTTCCGGTGTAATTGCTTCAAACCTTACAGTCTGGTCTTATACAACTTGTACGAACTGTACAAGCTGTTGTGTTACGAACCAAAAAGCAGTTTACTTGTTATGGGTACAAAAACAAACAAACAAACAAACAAACAAACAAACAAACAAACTAAAGATACACAAACTTACCGGTGGATCAGGCGGCGGCGGTTGTTTGCCCTCATTTCTGCATCTTCCGTTCGTCAGATCATAAGAAGGAAAGTTGTGGTCTCCCCGCTTTCCGTTCCTGGTCTGTTCTTCTAGACGTGACGCAGTTCTCTCTCAACTCTCTCAGTCTGTAGTCATGGCAACGCTACCAGTATGTTATGTCACTAATGTGGCTTTGGAAAGTTGCACCGGGCGTCAAAGAACATTCTTTCATCCTTAGCAGCCACACACAAATTGTTTTGTCGAATTAGACTGCTCTCGAAGGATTGAAGGATGGAAAACTGACATGAACAGACCAAAATACGTGTACCGTAGCAACAAAGATAATAATGAGGGACAAGATTTTTTCAACTGTGTACTGTAAGTCTATTATTTACTTTAGAAAGAATATAGACGCGGGGCGTGTTTGTGTCTTTATGGTCTTGGCTTTCGTGTTCCTGTCAAAAGTTTTAAGATTTTATTCTGTCATTAGACTCCTAGTTAACTATTTTTGATTCCTAGCATTAATAATACATAACACACGCGCGCGCGCACAGAGAGAGAGTGAGAGAGTGAGTGAAAAAGAGAGAGCTCTAGATCTGAGTGCATATAGAGAGACAGAGAGAGACTAGGAGACAAAGGACGAAAAACGTACCAATCAACATCTTTTCATGTCCAACCTTTTTTTCAAATTCACTGGTTTTATGTGCATTTTTGTATTGTTGTTGTGTTTTTGTGTTTCAGCTAGTTCTCAGCAATTTTCAGGAACCCTTGATGTTACCAATGCAGATTACTTCACGTACTATTACACCAAAATGAAAAATAACTTAGACCGGAGCCGATCCAAGATCTATGCATAAAATATGCATGTCATCGAGATCAAACGACGTCATTTTCAGAAGGATTTCCATGAACTTCTTTCTTTCTGTAAACATTGTGTTCAGACTTAATTGTCTGCATTTTAGAGTGCTGATGTGCATGAGCGCAGTGTATAAGCAAGGAAGCAAACCTTGCCCCTATAGAGTAGAAAATGTACTTTAAAGTTTCAAACTGTTATATTAACAGAAATTATTTGCTGTAACATTATCATGTTTTGTGTTTAAAGTAAAAACTTTTGATCCAACACAAAGAATTTCTCTCACCTTGAGATTTCGACCAGTTACTCTAGTCTTCCTCAGTAGGGACTAACTCAAAGTTATTGTACACGGAGTGTAATACAATAAGGAAGTTTAAGGAAGTTTTATTGCAAATTCGTGCCCGGAGGCTAATTGCAAATCATAAACATACAACAGTGTTGAAACAGATTATATTATTATACAATAGTATCTACATGATGAAAAGTAGTTGACTAAAAACTATAGCTATGTCTGAAGGGTTTGACTTGTAAACCATGGACGTAATGTCCCACCTTTTCTAAAATTTGTGGGTTTTGGGAAGTTAACAGAAAAATAGTTTTTTCATTGTCTGTAAGTTTAGAGGCCATAGTTACCTTCGCCAAGAAGGTTATGTTTTCAGGGGCGTTCGTGTATGTGTGTGTGTGTGTGTGTGTCTGTCTGTCTGTCTGTCTGTCTGTAAACACGATAACTTGAGAAGGCCTTGATGGATTGTCTTGATACTTGGTAGGTGGGTAGGTCTTGATGAGACCTCAAAATGATTAGATTTTGGACCCCCTAGCGGCTTGTTATGGTACTGCAACTGAACTTCCGGTTTTGGTATCTCATGATCTAGACATGCTATGGTGATGAAATTTAAATGGTAGGTAGCTCTTGTGCTGGCAAAGAAGTGACGTGAGTTTAGGCCCCCTAGCGGCTTGCTCTGGAACTGCAGGGATAAATTCTTGAAAATATTCAAAAGGGGATAACTCAAGAACCGGTTGACGGATCGTCGTGATTTTTGGTATGTAGGTAGCTTACGTGATGCTTGATATAATTATGTGACAATTATGCAAATATGGATGTAATTTGCATAATTTATGGGGAAATTCTATAAATCAGCTGCATTCCATGATAGGACAATTGAAGCTTGTGACATTGGTAATTGACAACGAGAGAAACACAAGAAGATGTTGATTATGTTAATAATGACTTAATTTGCATAATTAATGAGAAAATTTTATAATTATGTAATGATAACTGCCTGGAATTTCATACTTGTGGTATTTGAAAGTTAAATTGAGGTGAACATCATTAAGCATAATTTATTCAAATCAGGACCTCATTTGCATAATTATTAGGAAATGCTAGAATGCATTGTTTGTTAATATAAGACTGTCTTTTGGTTGAGATTATGATAAAATGATATAATTCATGAAAATTAGGTTCCTATTTCTTAAATCAGGGGGGAATACTAGTAATCTAATCTAAACTTTGTCAGTCATAAAGATTAACATCATTTGGCGAAGGTATGAGATCGGGGAACTCTAGTTTATAATGTCCTTGGTTTTGTCAAAAAGACCTGTACTTTCTTACGTAGGGAACTGGGTACTTTCGTCAGCGTATAGACTGAGCAATGAATGATGATGACAAGACTTCTGTCAGGACCTCAATATAATAGAAATTAGGAAATTGGTCAACTTTCTGACAGTCTACCTCTTTTGGCCTTTGGTTGTTACTCATATATTGTCAACAAAATAAGGATGCTACAAATATAGAATGTATCTCTCGTCTAATTTAATGAAGACATCCATTGCTTTAGTAGATTTGTCAACATGTTGTTATTTGACTTCATTTACAATGAAGGACCCGGTCACATACGTCGTAAGATCGTCGTACGAAGTTTGTACGATTGCAAACTGAATATTAGAAAGATAATCGTGTGTGTGTCCTGCTTGGTCTTGGTCTCCATACTTAACGGTAAAGCAGTATTGGGTTCTTGTCGGTGGTCTTTTCTGTCACAGCCTGCTAGCTTGTATCAAGGCTTGTATCAAAATCGTACGACGACATACGACGGCCTACGACAAAAGTGAAGTTTTACACCGGCCAATTCCTACCAAAAAATCTCCCATGGAAACCAAAAGGAATATATGTCGGCATGTAGGCTGTGTTCACGGTCTTCATCGTTTTACAGTCCAGAATGAGAAGATAGCTGGCTCTCCGATCGGCGTCGAAAACTGCCGAAAGCAGCACGCCGTCGTCTTCGTCCTTTCCGTCGGGATTTCCGACGAAACTTGGCTTGCTGACGTAATGGTTCGGGTGGTACCAATACAGGTCGTTTCCAGGGGTGCACAGGTCCTTTTTGACTATAGCGAAAGACCCATTGAGAGGGCTTGAGGGAGAAAAGTCGAGGATGACTCCATACACGTAACAGTAATGTTTGGTTCGGTACTTTTCGTTGATGATCGGGAGTTCAATTTTGTAGAGGAAATCTTGCAAAGGGGATTCGCTTCGAAACGTTTTGGTCTGAACCGTTTTACTGGCGAGATCAATACTGTAACGGTATAACCTGGACTTGGCCGGTTTGTTGTGAAGACTAGTTATATTACGTAACATAGGGAGCTTATATTCAGCAAAGACAGAAAAACCTTCCTCAAACTGGACAACATCTGCAACAATTGTACCGTCGTCCGTTTCATACGCGTTTACGTGATGAGTGAAGAAAAGTGCGTCTGTCTGTAAGCGTTCTATCTCTCCTGTTTTGATATTAGCCAGAATGACTGTTGTTTTCTCTTCAGGTAGCCAGTCTATATCCACCATGGCTGTTTCTACTATCTTCATAAAATTGAAGTATGCAGGCTGGGCGAAAAATATCGCGTAGTTCTCAGTTAAAGCAAAGCTATGCATGTAGGACGGTTTATCCGTCTGAAAGCTAGCTAAGATTTCATAATTGTCCAGGTCCTTGATTCTCAAGACATAGTGCTGATGTTTCTTTCCTGGGATTAAACTGGGGACCATTAAGTAGTTAATGTTGTTAGTTGTACCTGGTTCGACTATAGGATGGGCACAGGACTGAACAACTTGAGACATGTGTACACCGTTAACACTAGGGATAGATACACCTAGGGTCTTTAAGGTATCCGAGTCGAACTTAGTGTAGACCCATCCGTCCGTTAAGGCGGCGTAGACGCTGTCTTCCCCCTGTCCGTACTTCCAGACGTTGACGTCGGTGTTGTCGTAAGGATACTTGAAGGCTTCAATCCTCTCTAGTTCGTTGAACGCAGGGTCGACGCCGAAGAAGGTGACTTCAGGCGCGTAGCGGTTCGCTTTCATAGATCTGTGTATTAAAAGGAGGAAGAGACGGCCATGTTTGCAAGACTTGACTTAACTTTACTTTATTAGGATCCACTGTTTAACTTGACATCTCATGCAGCTATTCTTCCTGTTGTCCTCAATATGCAATACATCAATACAAAATGACAACTACAACAAGACCCCTTTTATATCAGTAGCTGTGTTTTAGTCTCGTCGCAAACAATATTATCGACATAGTGGTGCCATCCCGCAATTATTTGCGGAACAGCGGTTGAACAATTTCGTCATGCCTGTCAACTTGATCTTAAGGTCAATCTTCGGTAACCAAATCCACCCGCAAGTCTATTGCATTTAAATACCGATAGACACAAGCCAAAGCGCACGCACGCACGCACGCACGCACAAACGGACGCACGCACGCACGCACGCACACACACACATACACACACACACATACACACACACACACACACACACACACACACACACACACGCACACACGCACATACACACACACACACACACACACGCACACACACACGCACACACACACACGCACACACACACGCACACAAACAAATCCAAAATACCCCAACATGGTAAACCCACCTTGTGTACGAGCCGGTATCCAGAAATGCAGCTGAGAAGTTTATCTGGTGTTGTCCGATCTCCACGCTGTGGACCTTGGCAAAACCGTCAAATATGTGGATAGCCGACCGGCCGCCGAGCTCGAACAGACCAGGGGCGTTTCGAACCTTCAGGACAAGAACATCGAGAAAAATTCCGTTGTTTTCCTACTCACAATTGGAACGACAACGGAAACACATCATCCTTGAAAGTGAAGTCATGCAAATACACGTGTTTATCTTAACTAAAAGGACAACTTTTTTGGGCGACGACACACTCAAGTTTTTTCAACTTATTTTATGCCGCCTCCAGACAACAGACATACTCAATTTCACCTGAGTGAAGTGAGGAAATTCATGTTAAGTGCCTTTCCTAAGGGCACAAGATCGGTTGCATGGCAGGATTCGAACTCGGGACCTGTTGGTTCCAAGCCGAACGCACTGTCGTTACGCCACACGACCCCACTCAACTAGATAAAGATCTGCAAATATTTGCTTGTGTTACATGTATACAACACGAACTAACAGTTGATATAGCTTAGGTTCTTTTCACAGCTTCAGTTAAATCTTCTCAGTCATATCCATAGCCCGATGTTACCTCTTTCGAATTCTGCCCGGTCACATCCGTCGTACAGGTCGTCGTAAAATTTTGATCACGATGTCGTATATAGACTTTTCAAACAAGCTGTTACATAATCTCCAAGCAGATCTTTTGGTGGGGGTAAGACAGTATCAAATTGGCCAGTCTGTAACCAATTGGTAGCGGTAGCGACAAGAAAGGGGCCATATATAAAAAGCAAACGATCTTCCACCATCAACCTCTGCTTGGAGAGTACTGTTACAGACAGTAGCCTGTGTTTACACATGCTCTCAGTCGGAGGTTAATGACCCCGCCCCAAGAGGGAGGCGGCAACCTTTGGGGCGGGCGGCCGCCTGGAGCGCGACTTAGTACAGACAGAACCAACCCACAATGAAGACAGCATTTTCCGCAAGAAGACAAATTTTGCAAGACACATGCCCTTAGCATACGATCGTGCCAGGCAAATGGAGCTTCTCTGGCCGGCTACCTTCTCTGGCCCTTTTTAGGCCGATTTCTACGATTTATCATGGAGTTAAAAGAGCCTGCAAAAGAAGTCTGGTGGAGACTAATACGATCGTACGACAGTCGCACGACCGGGTCCTTACCAGTGTTCCTTCCAGCCATGTCGGGACGGAGTTGTTGGAGTCGTACTTCATCGGGATGTGTTGTAGCTCGTCGGTGTTCGACTGGAAGAGAGTTAACACTCCCTCAGGCTTCGCCACCACCGCCGAAAACATCGCCAAGAGAACCACACACGCACTGGGCAGGTAAAACGCCATGGCTGCTCTAGATATCCGGGAAAAGTGACCGACTAAAGGGCACTCCGGCCTTTTATATGACAAATAAACTTTTGTTTCACGTCACCCTTGCTATAAAAAAAACTTTCTATGCTAGGATTGACGTTTGGTCCTGAAATATGAGAGGTAAGGTACCAAACAAATATAACGTTATGTCCACTTCGCCATCTATGATCTATAAAACTATAGATATAATCAAAGAACTCACAACTAGTAGTAACTAACAACGTCTATGATCTATAGATATAATCAAAGAAATTACAGCTAACAAGAAATTGAAGATCTCATACCTTTGTTGTGCAACATTCAAAGTTTATGCGTATTTCCTCTTTCATAGTCATTATCAATTGTTAATGCATGTTCCCACAAGGTACAGGCAATAGAGGAGATCTAACCTTTTATGAGACCTTTGATCTATCTTACTGTCAGTGTCCCCCGGCATGCCTGAGCAGTAGAAATATTTGCAGATCTAGACGAACCACAAGCAAAAACACAAACTCACTGTACGTAACCGTTGAAGTGGAAAGACTTTTTAGTTATTTTTTTATGTCGTCTTCAGCGTAAATCGCTCTGCCCGGGCGCCAGAAACAATTTATTGACAAAAGTGGGCCGGTTCAACGTTCAAGACCTTTGGTAATTACATAAAGGAATGCTCTACTATCGATCCAAGACTGATAATTTTTAACTACTGTTTATCTAAAGCACAGAAAGTTTCGGATAAAAAATGCTGATATGATCCAAAGCTTAGGCCTATGATCATTATATTGCATTAATTGTCCTTTGGTCAAACAGAAAGTTGCATTCATTGTGGTCACTTGTAGGTGAGGGAAGGGCGTTGACCTCTAGCTCCCTGTCGTCTGATAATGATGCTATCTTGTTTGTTTCCCGCAATGACAACTCGGTACGTTCTGTCAATTTGTTCGAAGGTTATCGGAGCAAAGGTTGAACAGTTAAAAAAGGAGACGTGAAACGGTTTAAGACGTGATTGTTAACTTAAAAGTTATAAGCCTGACAAATGAAAAATTGGCCGACAGTCAAAGTTTGAGTTTAAACTGACGCGACTACTTCGGGAAAACAACAACGTGGACTGTTCAGTTTAATAGAGTGACTGTGGCCTAGTACTGGTGACTTACTTTACATAATATCGTCTGATTGTGATCAAGATATCTTCGTGTTTGTTTCCTGCCAGAAGTACATCATACGTTCTGTGGTTATGTTATGACTATGGCTAAATATTCTGTCAGTCCGAAAAAACGTATCCATGCGTTGGTTAAAGTGCACAGAATTAAGGGCACTTTGTTGACACATGTTGGTCAGCAAAAAAGTACGCTGACGTGAAGACAGAGGTCAAAAAGTGGCGTACTCTTATCAAACAACTAGTTCAACAAAAAGTATTGAGTCTCTTGTTATAGGTGAAGGCCGGCTCCAGTCACTGACCGCTCTTCATCTTACTCTCCAAGCAGAGGTTTGGGTTTGGGTTATTTTTGGTGTGTTTTTAGGTTTCTTCATTGGGGTTTCTTTTTTGCACTGCATTTTTGTGTTGCGTAAAAGAATCAGTGCGCAAAAGTAATCCAAAACCCAAACCTCTGCTTGGAGAGTAATCAAACAAAAACTTTAAAGCTCTCTCATTGGTCATTGCCTTTTGCAGAATCAGTGATGGTCGATTTCGATTGGATGAGGAAGTTAATTGAGTCATTTTCCACACCTGACACCTGTGTACGAATGACATGTGGTACAGTCCGTTCGACCTCGTGCGTGACGCACGCTGTTGTTAGAAATTTCTTTGCAACTTTTTGGCATATTTTCAACTTTTACCGTTTTTGGTTAGGAAACTTTCTATCGTAACGTATGAAGTGCATCTTGGGGATGTTTCTGTGGTAGAATTATGCCTTTCTTTGGTTGTTTGAGGAAGAAAATGCCCTTTTCCTGACCGGCGCCGGAATTTTGGTGAAAGGAAAAGAAAGGAAAATGGCGACTGTCATGTTGGAATGACGGCGTGATGTCGAGAAGACTCCTCTTTAGAAGGTAAGAGAACGAACTATCCCGTTAAATACATTTCCAACAAAGTTGTAACCCTAACGTAGGTATATTCTGTGAAAACTTGTGTAATTCTACCCATTTATGTCCTAGTTTAAAGCGGGTTTCCAGTTGAACATTTCATACACTATTTTCTTGTTGTTTTCTGGGCATGTATTTGATGCATATCTTGTATGCGAGTTGATTTTGTCTTTGCCATTGTCTAGGGGCAGAAATTATATGATACGACCTGTTGTGGGTATAAATACCCCAACATGGTAAACCCACCTTGTGTACGAGCCGGTATCCAGAAAGGCAGCGGAGAAGTTTATCTGGTGTTGCCCGATCTCTACGCTGTGAACCTTGGCAAAACCGTCAAATATGTGGATAGCCGACCGGCCGCCGAGCTCGAACAGACCAGGGGCGTTCCGAACCTTCAGGACAAGAACATCGAGAAAAATTCCGTTGTTTTCCTACTCACAATTGGAACGACAACGGAAACACATCATCCTTGAAAGTGAATCATGCAAATACACGTGTTTATCTTAACTAAAAGGACAACTTTTTTGGACATGGCGACGACACACTCAAGTTTTTTCAACTTATTTTATGCCGCCTCCAGACAACAGACATACTCATTTTCACCTGAGTGAAGTGAGGAAATTCGTGTTAAGTG